AAAACAAATATTTGTAAAAACTAGCTTTGGAACCCAGCGTTGCCCAGGTTACTCATAGTTACGCCCGCCGTTTACACGCGCTTGGTCTTGAATTACGATTTCAGCTATTTTTCGCTATAAAAGTCGACCCACTCATGACTTAGAACCTCAAAACCAAGCAAACAACATTTCCGTGGTTTTCACGTGTTACCCAATCTAAATGTGAGACAAATCGGTTCATGAGTTATGATCATACATACAAGCAAACTAACAGAGATTACTAATTTATATATAAAGATATAAGATTTATATGTTTAAATCATTATTCGTTAATAGCACTATGAATAACTGGTCACGTATAGAGCTTTGTCTGCTAACCCTTTAAATAGATTATGGACACTTATAAAGACATCTAATATAAGATAGATCCTAGATAATATAATAAAGTCAAGCTCAGTCCACAATCTACATCAAGTATAGTTGTAGTCATTTAGTAATATATAAAATATACAGGGTTACCCACAAAGGATGAAACTTTAGAGACGACTTTACCTAGTTTTTGAAAACTGTTTTCTTAATTCCCCGCCATCTTGAAACTTTTTTTCTTTTGAACTGTTAATTTTCAACTTAAAAGTTTAGAACAAGGTGAATGACAAAATTCAGCGATCAGATTGTTGCATTTGATGAAATCAAGTCGTCATTTATACTCCTTACAATTTCATTATTTGTGGGTAACCCTGTAGTGAAACCAAAGTTGAAGAAAAAAGAATTAAGAATTTTGGAATATTAAAATTATCTCTTTTTTAAATCATGATCTGAGTTCGTTTCCTTTTTCCATCTGACTGCCCTCTTTTTGAAAATAACTTTTTTGTTTGTTTATTTTCTTGTTGTTTTTAACATTTATTTATTATTGATTTTTATGGTTATTATATAGTTAGAACTGAGTCTGACGAGGGTCAACCCAGACTGAAATATATTTTCAATAAAAAGGAAAATAACATCTACTTTTTTAACTCTATTATGTTTGGTCCATCATCAATGCAAAATTTTAAATATAACCAGGCACGACTAGTTCAACAACACTTTTATCAAATTAGTTTAGTTTATTATTAAAACTGGACCATCATATATCTATTATCAAGAAACTCCGTGAATAAAAATAAAAAAAACACAAAATTAATGTGCAGGGCTCAATGTTTTAAATAGAAAAATAATAAGATGCAGTATACAAAACAGTTTAAAAATACTACTTATATTCAAGTAACAACCCTGCTGCCTACTAGACTAATAGAAACGGCCAAATTTAGGTGATATTACTGGTACAACTGTGTGACCTCTTAGCACATCTAGCTTTGATTTTACGCATAATTATAAGAAAAGCAAATGTATTATAAGAAAACCAAATGTATTATAAGAAAAGCAAATGTATTATATAAAAAGCAATTTTTTTTTAAGAAAAGCCAATGTATTATAAGAAAACCAAATGTATTATAAGAAAACCAAATGTATTATAAGAAAAGCAAAGGTTTTATAAGAAAAGCAAATGTATTATAAGAAAACCAAATGTATTATAAGAAAAGCAAATGTATTATAAGAANATTTTATTCGACGCATTCGTATAAAGTCAATATATCATAATATTTTTTATTTGCTTTCTATAGAATAAATTTAAAATGAAGGTGTTTTGTCCGCTGGGTGTTTCTCCTTCATGGAAATGCAAAAACATTGAGAGACACCTGGTGGCCAACTAATCGTCGTTTAAATTGCATCATAAATAAAACAAATAAAAAATACTAAGAAATTAGAAGACTAAGCTTAACTTTAATGCAAAAAAGGCTCACTACAGATGCCAGCATGAGCAAATAATGCATTTTTTGCGACATTTTTGCACTTTCCGTTATTTCATCTAAAGTATTTCAATTTCTTGGTTTTGAATCCTGAGTTTTGTTTAGAAATATGTTTTTGTGTTAAACTGAACCATGCAGTGCTGCATTCTCTACATTGTACATATAAAGTTTGCTTTTTTAAACGCAATTTATTCACTGCATTCTACTATACTATAATGCACTATAATCTACTATACTGCACTCTGCTGCAATGCACTCTACTGCACTGTACTCATCTGCATTACATTCTACTTCATTGCACTCTACTGCACTCTACTACACTGCACTCTACTGCACTCTACTGCACTCTACTGCACTGTACTCAACTGCATTACATTCTACTTCACTTCACTCTACTGTACTCTACTACACTGTACTCTACTGCACTCTACTTCACTGCACTCTACTGCACTGTACTCAACTGCATTACATTCTACTTCACTGCACTCTACTGCACTCTACTACACTGCACTCTACTAAACTCTACTTCACTGCACTCTACTGCACTGTACTCAACTAAGATGGGCGCGAAGCGCCCTCTAAGGCTAGAAAGAAGGGCGCGAAGCGCCTTGAATTTCCAGTATATGTATAATTCATTAAATATATAAAACTCGGAAACTGAATAATTCCTTGTATGTATGTATCGTGAAGAGGAAAGTACACAAGGAAGGAGGGTAGGGCACCAGGAGACCTTGGAACCAACCAGATTATTAAAATGTGAATTATGATTTCTAACCATGGGTCAGGGATAGAATTTGTAGGTGCAGCACTGTATGTTTTTGGATGGGATGGATGGGATGAATGGGATAGATGGGATAGATGGGATGGATGGGATGGATGGGATGGATAGGACAGATGGGATAGATGGGATAGATGGGATGGAGAGGATGGATGGGATGGATGGGATGGATGGGATGGATGGGATGGATGGGATGGATGGGATGGATGGGATGGATGGGATGGATGGGATGGATGGGATGGATGGGCTGGATGGGATGGATGGGATGGATGGGATGGATGGGATGGATGGGATGGATGGGATGGATGGGATGGATGGGATGGATGGGATGGATCCCCCTGAATAAATCAAATCCCTATATGGTTTTAAAATTCTGACGGAGTTTAAATTAATGTTTTAGTTTGTATTTAATCAATCAAAATATATTTGTTATCTTTACTTTTCATCAATTTGCCGCAGGATATTTTCAGTTCATATTGATTTTCCTTCACATTTGGATTTTAATCTTTGATTAATAATCTTGGTAGAAACCAAATATATCATATTTTAGTTCATTATGTAACAAATATATTGCACGTAAATATTAAATATTCAATATTTAAATAGAATTGGTTATAAAGAAATAAAGAGGTCATAACTTTTGTATCTTTAATCTTTTCATATTTCATAACACACTCAGCCGGGTTCCCACCATCTATGTGGGTTAAATTCAAGTGGTCGGAAACAGTAACACCTACCTTTCCTTAAATCCTTTCGTTTAAAAGTGTCCACTATGGATAACGAGCTTAGTCGATGTGGCCGGGCACTATTCTCACCAAAGTTTTAGAATCAAGAGATATAAATTTTTAGACTTTTAGAAAATATTTGGAAGATGCTGTATTAGCACATGAATGCAAATGCAGCTTTTTTCAGATGATGATATAGTTAGATTTTACAGGGAAAGAAGCTTAAAATCGTAATTAAGACCAAGTGCGGCCGAGTAAACGACGACGGGAGTAACTATAAGTTTCCTGGGCAGTTGGCAACACTGGGTTTCCGATCTAGTATTGTGTAATGTAAAAGTATTTATGTATATTTTACAAATATAGAATAAAAAGAATTTATGCAACTTTCATTATTTAAAAATTCATATAAATAAGCCAACAGAGGATATTGTATTGTGAAGTTTTCATGTAGGGTTGGGTAAAGTTCAGACAACTCCCCCCCCACCTCCCCCACCACCCCTCATGGTTCTGTATTCTCATAGAGGTATTAAATACAGGGGCGGATTAAACCAATATCTCGGGGGGGAGGGGGGGGGGCTTGCGGCACAATGGGTCGCGTATGCGCCCAAAACATATGCTGGTCCCCCCTCCCTAAAAATTGAACAATAAGCAGTAAATTCTTATTTGTAAAAAAAGTTTACAAATCACAAAAAAATCAAAAAACATAACCAAAATATATACAACATTGCATGTGCGGATTTATCATGTAAGGAGGATGTAATCGCTTTTTTTGCGACCCCCCCCTCGAGGGAGATTGGTATGCATGAGGGGTGGGGACACACAGAGAGAGAAACACAAATGGATGTCTTCTTTTCTGATGTTTGTAACATAAACATTTAAAACATAGAGTGCTTGTCAGATATTGTTTTACCTACAAAGACGACTTTACAACTTGAACCTAATTAAAATAAACAGGCTTCTCTACTATATAGCTTGGTTCGAGATTTAAAATGTCGCCCTCCAAGATGAAGCAAGATCTGAAGAGCACTGTATGTAGAATGTAGATGTAAAAATCAAAATTAACCTTCTAAAAAGTTTATATACTTGCAGAGAATAAAATGTTGTTCATATTTAAAATTCAGTGATGGTGATGGACCAAACCTCTGTAGAGTAAAAAAGTAGATATTAGTTCCACATTTATTGAAAATATATTTCGGTCTGGGTTGACCCTCGTCAGCTCTTGTGATTGTTTCTTCACAAAGATAAAAAACAAACTCTATATATGTCTTCATTAATCTTTAGACTACTTTGTATATAGTATATACAGGGTTACCCACAAAAGACCTTAAAGACGACCTAAAACTCTTAAAAAATGACAAAACCAAGGTTTAATGGTGTCTCTACCTTGAATATAGTCTTTTTAGGGCATATTTTATGATTTGGCAAAGAAAGAAACAAGTTTACAGTTTCAAGAAACCGTGTATTTAAATTCTGTTAAGTCGTCTTTGAAGTCTCATCCATTTTTGGTAACTCCGTATTTATACTCTGTGATTTTAAAAATGTTGGCTTATACTTACTGCAGACCTCATAATCAAATTTCGAGATTTACATATCTCATCAAAGGCATATATAAGTATAAATAATTTAAGATGGGAAAGCAATTTTAACTGATATTTCAGGTCATTTATTCAATTCTAGTTTCGTTGTATTTTTAAACAGGTATTGAATAAAGATCACGCCTCTCCGCCTTCTCGCAGAGCACATTTCTCCCCTCTTCCCGTTGTTCTATTTTCTAATTGAGGTATTAAATACAAACAATGTCTCCCCCCCCCCTTTACCCCTAGTAGAGATAGCATTTGGATTATAACCAAGTTCAATTCAACTAAACAAGTACTTGTTCCTTCGTTCCCTCCTCCCCCCCCCCCCCCCCCCCCGCCAAAAAATCCCTTTCTCTGAAAACAAGTATACATAGTCTGGTATGAAAGTGCTAATCAAATAAACAAACACCAAACTTACCCACGGTAACAAACCTATAGCTTTACAAAGAGTTTATGACTATGTTAACAGATTTTATCTTGATAACTAAAACCTAAAATTGAAGAGTTCAAGGCTGTTTTATGGATTTTATTTTGAAAACTAAAACCTAAAATTCAAGAGTTCAAGGCTATTTTATGGATTTTATTTTGAAAACTAAACCTAAAATTCAAGAGTTCAAGGTTGTTTTATGGATTTTATCTTGAAAACTAAAATCTAAAATTTTAAAGTTCAAGGCTGTTTTATGGATTTTATTTTGAAAACCAAAACCTAATGTTTAAAAAGTTTATGAATGTCATCTTAAAAACTTAAATCTTGCTGTTTTATGGATTTTAGCTTAAATACTAAAACCTTCTCTACAAAAAGTTTAAGAATGTATGGATGTTATATTTAATCTTACAATTACATACAAGAAGTTTATGGTTGTGTTTACAGATTTTACAATGAACACACAAACCTAACTTACAAACAATCAACATTCCTTTATAACCTGATTTATGCAGGTACAATTAAAACCAGCTTTATACAAAAGAATGTTATTGTAAATGAGACATTGGGCCTTTAATAGAAGAATTTATGTTCTTAAAAAAAACTTAAAGTGGCGTCGAGTTTATCGAAATCAATGTAAATGTTAGTTCCCTAGCCTGTCCTAGCCGCAGATATTATAGTTTCCATAGTCTGTCCTAGCCGCATATATTAGTTTCCATTGTTTGTCCTAGCCGCAGATATTAGTTACCATTGTTTGTCCTAGCCACAGATATTAGTTTCCATTGTTTGTCCTAGCCACAGATATTAGTTTCTATGAGCCACGAACCCTCCTTTCTTCGAGTACGAGAACTAAGTGTACTACAGTTTATGAGAGGAATCTGAACAAAAATCAGTCTGAGTTGAGTTTTTTTTTACTTTTTTCCCCCAGAAATTACAGTTCACTTTATTTCTGTAAAAAAATACAAGGTTTCCGGGAATATGTAAATATTTCTTTTAATTACACCTTATTGTATAGGGAGGGGACAAAGCTTGTTTCGTTTTTAGTTCGTTTTCAGGTGTTTGGACTTTTAAAAAGGCCCCCTCAGTAAAATTTTTCTTTTATCAAACTTTGCAAAATGTTATCCTTGAGAAAATGTAAGAGGGAAACGAACCCTAAACCATCGTTTAAACGGTTCGTTTTTTTGCAAATTATACTTTCGCTCCGGGTCAAAGTTTGGAAGAGTGTTAGAAAAGCTAGTTTACAATTTTGAAATTTGCTAAACTTTCCAGATTATTGTGGAACCTTTGAAGTTCAGAAAAGTTGTTTAAACTAATCGTGTGGTACATCTTTTTTCATACAAAGTTTTCTGATTTATTCTTGATTTATTAGTTAACGAGTTGCCTTGAATCCCCCGGCTGCGTCAAAGCTCACCCCATTATTGAAAATACTGTGATTAGAGGTAGAGGGGGGAGTTCCATTAGTTGCAAAATAATATGACAATTTGTCAATAATTTGTTATGTATTGAGTAAATATTATGAATCAATACAGTATTGACGGATAACTGGAAATACAACCATAAATAAAGGGGTTTTAGTCTGAATCAGCCAAAGGAATTGAGTCTTTGCCACAAACTCTGATTTTCTGATCACTATATCTTTGGAACCAAATGTTGCATGCCTTAGATATTTCAAACTATGAATTCTGTTAGATCAAGTAATCTGAGTTTGAAATATCAAAGGTTTACAACATCGAGTTCTAAAGATATTGTGGTTTGAATATTTGATTTTGTTCCAAAGACTCAATTCCTTTTCGATAAATCTCTTTTGCGAAACTTTTTGATAATCATCTTCTAGATTTTACAGCAAATTTTCGGCAAGATTAGAAAATACAATTTATTTGAAAGTGGAAAATACGAAAAAATGATTTGTAAGAAGAAGTAAGCAAGTCAACTTGCCCTGGGTTGGTTGGAGAATCAAATTTTCCTCATGTTAACTGCCTCACCCAATCAGGATTTACTTAACTTTTTTATTGAATAAAGTTTTCTATATCATTGAACATTTTTAAGTGTTTGAAAATTTCGTTGAAAACCCTTTTCATACTAGATAAAAAAAAGATTTTAAAGGGAGTGTTTGCGAAAATGAAAGGGGGTATAGGCTTACGTCGAAAAGTATTCGATGGTGATCACTGCTAATCTTACTTCTATCAGTTGCGTCTATTAGGAAAAATTGGCTAAACACAACCCATACGGTACCGAAGAACGTAGCATCCATACAAAATCAGAAAGTTGCAATATTCGACCCAGATCGTAAAAAATAAATTTAATTCAAAACAAATTATTCAGATATTACAGCCTATAATCATCGAATTTTATTCGACGCATTCGTATAAAGTCAATATATCATAATATTTTTTATTTGCTTTCTATAGAATAAATTTAAAATGAAGGTGTTTTGTCCGCTGGGTGTTTCTCCTTCATGGAAATGCAAAAACATTGAGAGACACCTGGTGGCCAACTAATCGTCGTTTAAATTGCATCATAAATAAAACAAATAAAAAATACTAAGAAATTAGAAGACTAAGCTTAACTTTAATGCAAAAAAGGCTCACTACAGATGCCAGCATGAGCAAATAATGCATTTTTTGCGACATTTTTGCACTTTCCGTTATTTCATCTAAAGTATTTCAATTTCTTGGTTTTGAATCCTGAGTTTTGTTTAGAAATATGTTTTTGTGTTAAACTGAACCATGCAGTGCTGCATTCTCTACATTGTACATATAAAGTTTGCTTTTTTAAACGCAATTTATTCACTGCATTCTACTATACTATAATGCACTATAATCTACTATACTGCACTCTGCTGCAATGCACTCTACTGCACTGTACTCATCTGCATTACATTCTACTTCATTGCACTCTACTGCACTCTACTACACTGCACTCTACTGCACTCTACTGCACTCTACTGCACTGTACTCAACTGCATTACATTCTACTTCACTTCACTCTACTGTACTCTACTACACTGTACTCTACTGCACTCTACTTCACTGCACTCTACTGCACTGTACTCAACTGCATTACATTCTACTTCACTGCACTCTACTGCACTCTACTACACTGCACTCTACTAAACTCTACTTCACTGCACTCTACTGCACTGTACTCAACTGCATTACATTCTACTTTACTGCACTCTACTGCACTCTACTTCACTGCACTCTTCTGCACTGCACTTAAGCCTACTGCACTGCACTCTACTGCACTGCACTCTACTGCACTGCACTCTACTGCACTGTAATCTACTGCACTACACTCTGCTGCTCTGTACTCTACTGCACTACACTCTACTGCACTGCACTCGACTACACTTCACTATACTACACTGCACTCTATTGCACTGCATTCGACTGCACTGCATTCGACTGCACTGCACTCTACTGCACTGCATTCTACTGCACTGCACTATACTGCACTGCTTTATACTGCACTGCATTATACTGCACTGCATTATACTGCACTGCATAATACTACACTGCACTCTACTGCACTGCACTCTACTGCACAGCACACTACTGCACTGTACTGCTACAGCACTGCATTCTACGGCACTACACTCTACTGCACTGCACTCTACAGAACTGCACTGCTGCAGCACTGCACTCTACTGCATTGTACTGCTGCAACATTGCACTCTACTTTACTACACTTTACTGCAAGCAATGCACTGCCGCAGCAGATGCTGTATTACATTAAACCAAACAATTGAAAACTTCTTCTTTTCTTCTTCTTAAACTTTTTGAAGAAAAACATCTTAAACATTTTTACTGGCGCCTAAATAAAAAAGTTCTAAATATAAATAATTCAACTCTCAAAATTTAATTTAATTTAACCATCTTCGTAAATGTATAAAAAATGAATATTTAAAATTAGGAACTTAAACATTCGCAAAAATGAAGAAATTCGTTGTATGGCAAAAATGTGCGTGATGATAACAACAATTTCAAACATTTCAGATGTAAGATTTGCGCCTGAACTTATTGCATTGAAGCAGTTAAATTATCTTTTTTGTTGCTTTTTAAAATTGTTTTGCATGTCGTTCTGAACAAAAATAAATCTCTAACTGAAGAAATGGAAAAAGATTAAGAAATTATATTTTTTATTTAATAATAAATTGTTTAATGCAGAATTAGCTTTATAAATCATGCTTGCAGAATAGTATTAGAATTTTGCATGCACATGCATATTTCAAATTAAACAATAACAAGTTTATAGCAGGTGTAAACCTTTAATTCTTGATTTAATAATTTGACGTTTAAACTCATCAAAACATGGCGATTTTTCGCAGAAATTTTATCATGAAAAATGAATCTATAATGTTTATTATTATACAAAAGTTATTTACCGTATACAACTCTGAGCAGTATTTACCATTTATCAACATTCGTTCAGTTTTCACAAATACACCTTAAAGGGACTGTAAACGTAATTTCAAGAGACGCTTCAGCTGTTCATAAGACAACACAGCTCACGCTTGAATTTGCAGCTGACTTCGAGAAGGTTACACACACACATCTCAGTACTCTACGAACACACAACTGTTTTATGGGTACCGTTGTAAATCGGACATTGCCCTCTGTACACTTTAGAAAGGTTCAGAAATTTTTACTTAACGGCTTTTTAAAAGAAAAAGTTTATCATAAAAATTCTTTCAAGTGATGTAATTAAAATTGATGCTAAAAGATTTATTTTTGATTTATTTAAACCATAGATAAATAAATAAACATAGATAGCTTATGTACTCAAAATCACCAAGAATTGTACAGTCCGCGAACTCATACTTCTAGGGTTCAAAGTGTTCTTCAATGATAAGCGGGGTGGTTTGGTGTTTTAATGGATTTCATAATTATTAAGCCACTCAGGAGTGAATTTTATTTTCAGAATATCAAATTATCATATTGACGAGAACTGAAGAAGGGCATGGGAAGGACTAAACTAACTTAGATTTCTCTCTACAGAACTCATGCACACCACAAGTACTCAATGACATAAGAACAGCCAATGTTCACAACCGACCGAGTTAATCTATATAATAGGAATATCTTTAAAACATCTCTGTACATTGATATATTTCAAGATGAAAAATATCGTCTTATGCGCAATCTATCTTTATCTATGATTTGAACACTAAAGATTAAGAAATCTTAAATGATTAATCATCAGACATAGTTGTCAGTAATTTGAATAATTTGTCTGACAAAAATGATCTAATTTCGTGGATTTTCTTTCATCATAGCACTCTCAATTATATCCTTTTAGCAAATTGGATTTATCTTAAAAATATTGCATTATTCTAGAATAGGGTTTCCAATTTCTTCCGGAGAGATTTGGAACCGTAAAGGCCTTACGGAACCTTTTCTGAAGATGTTAAGATGAACAACTTTTAAGACTAAAATTGTAACTGGTTTGTCATTCTGAATAGGTTCCGGAAAGGTTCCGGAAGGTCTTTACGGATCCAAATTGTTCCGATAAAATAGCAACCCGGTAGGCTATATTCCAAAACAGGAAAATCCATTTTCATAATTAGTTTTGAAGTAATCTCGAACAAATTAGAAACATTGAAAAAACTAAAATAAATTATCTAAGATTGATAAAAAGTTCAAAAGTTAGATTAGGTTCGAAGCTTAAAGGGACCGTTCACTTATTTGGGTAATTTGAGGGTAAACTAGATAGCCTATTCCTATTCATTGGCATTAGTCGTACTTTTCAAAGACACTGAATTGCCTAAGAAAAAGCCGATTTATCATTCAGAATTCCAGCGCAAAGGTATGGTATAATTCTATGTGTATGATATAAAAGGTATAATAAATGGTATCACACCTTTCCGCTGGAATTTGAATCGGCTTTTTCTCCGGTCATTGATATCTCTGAAAAGTAAGACGAATACCAAGGAATAGCTTATAGGCTAATTAGTTTACCATAAATTACATACTCAAATAAGTGAACGGTCCCTTTAAACTCGTTTCTCTAACATGTATAAAATTAAATACACCGTAATATGATTAAACTTTTATAATTTTTTAAATTCTGAACAAAAGCAGTTTTATCCAAATAGATTGTCAAGTACAATAGATGGCAACGTAGTATTTGTACAATCTCAATACAGCTGTATTCTTACAATTCTTACAAGTTTCCCATGTCCTATTGGATTATCTCTTAGATTACTCTATGCCATAAAATTTCATAATGTGCAACGTAACGTTTCAAACGTTAATACTTTTGATAAACACTATCGTAACGAAAGCTAAAATCTAGAATAATCAAAACGTTGACATCTCTAGACTATATACATGTATGGATGGAAATTATTATTTATGAATTTGAAAAATGAATAATGGATTACCAACATGCATGGATGGATATTATTTATGTATTTGATAAATGAATAATGGACTACCTACATGTATGGATGGAAATTATCTATGTATTTGATAACTGAATAATGGACTACCTACATGTATGGACAGAAAGTCTTCCATTTCATTCGAGAAACCACCAACGTATTACCTGTCATAGAAAATATAAATTCATTCTTTAATTCATTTAGTTTTATTATAACCTCGTTGAGTTTTATAAAAATTGGTCGATATTCTGTTTAAAAAAATTGGTCGATATTCTGTTGGTTTTGTGCACAATGAACTCGATGTTGTTTTATAAATATATCTTTTGAAATCATATGAAAATTTTTAAAAAAATTGCCTTTTTTCCTAAACGATTGTTTATGATTTTCCTTGGCATAGGTTTTAAAACTTGACGCTGAAAAACTTGATATTATATTAATAGAAATTGGCCTGTGTGATACATACATACATTAAAGCTTTATATAATATAAATAACTTGAGAAAAAATCTTTCCTTGGAAACTTAACTCCCTCTATAAAAGTCAAC